TACATCTTCTGCATAGCAACACCACTTCTTTTATTCTCGTTCTCTTTTGCCTTTTTGTTTAAATATCATTCTGAAGGTTTCAACTTTATCCCTAAACTTCTTGATCTCTAAAATGGTTTTCTTTCATCATTCCTTTTTCGACTTTTTGTTGGCTGTCTGCTTATTCTTAATCCCAGTATTGGTTTTGGAGGTGGTTGTCCAGTTGGGCATGCAGCCGTTCCCTACAAGTGTTTTAATTTCATTTGGGGTACAGGTACTCCAGGTTCCAGGGAGTTTTTGCATTTTTAATGTAAAGCAATTCCAAGTTTGTGTCCAAGCCCCTGAGCACCTCAGTCCAGTTAAGATTACTAACTATAATCTTTCTGTTTATTAAAATTTGCCATTTATAAATCAAGAACTTTAGTTGCGTATGTACTTTCGTTTATCCTTCTATTATATATAAAGTGGATCAAGTTGCTGTCTCGCAGTTCAGCACGATGTTCTACAACCAGCCATTCTATAATGTTTCTGCTGTTTACCAAAATCGGCCTAAAATAGCATCAGCTTTCCCTGGTTCAGTAGCTGTCTGGCAAAAGAGTCTGTTGGAATAGCTGAGCCCTGTCATTATTTAGTACCATTTGTTTTCCAGTCTATGTCTGGGAAGTTCCTCTCTCCTGACACACATACTGGTAGTATTGTTCTCTAACATAATGTTCTAACATCCTTTCCCAAAGTGATTTTGATCCAAACCAGTTGTATTCTATTTATGCTATCCTTGCTTATTTCTTAACAGAGCATTATACCATTAAAATACTGTACTACCCCACCATCTTAATACTTATTTCTGTTTTTCCTGAATGGTGCATATGTTCCAGTCGCCATTGCTATCCACCATGTTTCTCTTACTTTATAATACCCAGTGTCACATCCTGGACCAGTAGTTCAGGTTCTGGTACTTTGCCTCCCTGATTTCTTAAGTCAGCATACAAACTTTTCAGTTATTTTTAGTGCTGGTACCCAGTTCCCTAGCTGGATTAGACACTGTCCTTTCATGACCCACCTTTACTTGCCTTGCTGCTGTTTCAGCTTCTTTTCTTCTTATTTTCCCCATCCTCCTTTATCCATTGCAGTATCCTTATTTACCTGATTTTCCTCTGCTTGTGTAATAAAACCAGGCATCAAAATAATTCATCTTGCCCAGCAATTTTCCATTATATCTTACTCTAAAGGTCTTATCAGTCATGCAAGTTTTGATCCCAGAAGACCAATTCCCCAGGTACGCAGAAGGATTCATAAATTGGCTGGATGGGACCTTGGAAGATCATCAGGTCCAGCCCCCTACACCAAGCAGGAAAGATAACTGGGGGTCAGGTGACCTTCCCCCCCCACCCCTTGCAAGGTGCCCGTCCAGTCTCCTCTTGAAGATTGCCAGTGTAGGCGATTGCACCATCTCTGGAGGGAGCTTATTCCAGGCTGGACACCCTGACTGTGAAGAAGATTTTCCTAATGTTGAGCCTGAATCAGTCTTCCAGGAGTTTGTGGCCATTACTCCTAGTTTTCCTTTCGGGTGCCCTGGTGAACAGTTGCTCACCGAGCCCCAGATGTACTCTCCTAGTGTAGTAGTAAACTGCTACCAGGTCCTCTCTCAGCCTTCTTTTCTTCAGGCTGAAGAGTCCCAGATCCCTCAGCTTTTCCTTATGTGGCTTGCCTCTGTTCATAGACTCTGATCATATGGGTGGCTCTTCTTTGGACTCTCTCAAGCTTGTCCACATCCTTGTTAAAGTGTAGTGCCCAGAACTGGATGCAGCACTCCAGCTGCAGTCTCACCAGTGCTGAGCAGAGCAGAAGAATCACCTCCTTGGTTTTGCTGGAGATGCATTGATTGATGCATGCTGGGGTATTATTTGCCCTACTGGCTACTAGGGCTGTGTAAAGCTTTGGTCCCTGTTCAGTGGAGATTTGGCCCAGTTTGGTGGCCAAATCTCTGAATCTGAATCAAATCAGGAGACCTTTTAATCTCTCTGAATCAAACCAGAAGCCTCCGAATCGATTCGGAGAGATTCGGAAAGATTCGGGGATTCAGACATAGACACAGCTTTAAATGTTTTTTCTACATACCTCAAGGTACCACGTGGCTTGTGAATGCTGTGATGCTGGAGTGTCCCACAGGAGTGCTGTGGGGCTGAGTTAGGGTAGATGGCCCTTTAGACCTTACTGTGCCTTTGGTAAAAGAGAGTGTCTTCGAACGGAGGTGTGGCTGGTGGGATCTTTTCACGTTGTTCCCAGGCCATCAGGTGGCATACACCACCTGACTTCTTTCCAGTGCCGCAGATTTGGTAATAATTCTCCCTTTCCATTCCAGATACATGGTGGATGCTGCAGACCAGGAGAAGATTGAGGCCTCAAAGAATGAACTTCACAACCTGCTCGACAAGCCACAGCTCCAGGGCATCCCTGTAAGCAAGCTCCAATTCGGGGTAGCAGGCAGATTCTTCTAGGCTGCTCCCTTGTCCCTGGGCATTAGGGCTGGCGTTTGGAGGGGTTACCTTTCCAGTGGTTGCTTGGTAACAAACAGGGCAAAACAAATCCCTCTTCTCCACTCTGCCCATTTACACTTACCTATTTGTGTAAGTATCTATGCATAATGATGCTTTCTGGACAGGCTGGGCTGGAAGAGGGGGTGCTTCTGAGGAAGCCTTCCCAACTTTTTATATCACTTATAAAAGTGACTGAGTGAAACACTTGCCTGAGCAGTTCCAGAATTAGGTTTATAGTTTTGAAGAGCATTTTCCATAGAAAACTTACATTTCCTTTGTGATGGAATAGTAAGCTATTTCACTGAGCCGGTAGTGTGAAGAGGCTGCCTCTGGGACTGTTTTTGCATGAGACAGATTGCAAATAGCTGCACCTAAAGACCAGGATGAAAACTTCAGAACAACCAAGGGGCGGGGGGACATCTCTGCAACAAACACACACCAAAATGTGCCTCGTTCTGTGCAGGAGAATGTCACATGTTCTGCTGTGCTAGAGAATTTCTGCATTTTTGCTGCATTCAGCAAATTCTGAGCTTTTATTTTAAATCAAATTAAGTGTCTCCTCCTACACAGAAGGCTCTCAGGCACATAGCTGTGCATTATCTTTCAAGAACATGTATTTTTAAAAAAAAAAGCTGAAAAGGTGAAAAAACACCAGTAAATGCTGAGGTAAGGAGGTCTTGCTTAAAGAAGGCTCCGACTCGCATTTGGAGAATATCCACAGCATAAACTATGCTTTTGTTAAATGGCAGTTCTCAGAGGGAAGCAGAAAGTATTGTCTAGTATTATTCTTCATACATGTGCTCGAAGACATGTTTGTGCCTTTCAGGATTTTGAAGTCAGTCGCTGGGGCAAACCACCATTTTTTAACTGCTTTACAGCTTTCTTTCATTGGCTTTCAGCTCTCTTTGACTAACAAGTAGACTTTTATTCTTTAAGCTTAAAAAAATTATGCAGTTGGACTCTGGACTGTAACACAGAGGGTAAAATGTGCAGAGGAGGACAGTGTTGCTTTCTTCATGAATAACATATGAGCCACCAACCTTATGCTAGAAAAAGACTTAAAATGGGATACTCTCAAGTGTTCGCCGTGTTTAATTTTGGCCAGATCTATGTGATAAGAGTGCAGGTGGTATTAGTGAAGAATCTGTTGTACTCTTACCTTCTGTTCCCCTTAGAAATTTATGTCAAGCACTTTTGAAAATATGTCCTCTCTTGTCCACACTGATAGAACATAAACCTGGTACTTTGGATCTGTACATAATAAACAGCAAGAAGCATAACCTCCTTTCTTCTGCTGCTGTTGCTCCTCACTGCTCACCATTCACGTGCAGTGTAATTCTTGGTCACGTCTGCCCCCAGGAGCATCGTGGTCTGTCTCGCTAGGGCAGGATTAAGGTTGTGTTTGTCCTTATGTGTAGGTTGTGGCTTTGAGAAATTCAGCTTTAACCCATCACTTCCTAGTTTGCTAAAGCTTGGGAGTGGAGTTCTCAAAATGTAATATACTTTTGAACCCTGGATATGTGCTTGCCTCCCAATCTCCACCTTCATGCTCTGTTTTATCAGGGAATTTCTGGAATTCTTTAAATACTTATGACCTGACACTGTCAGAGCAAAAGATCAGACATTCACCTCCTCCATGACCTTCTGTCTTAGCGCCCCCGTAACTGGCTGGTGGCTGCCAAGAGCAACAGGGGCTTTTAACTCCATTTTAGTAGCAGAGGGGCAGAGGTAGAGCTCTTTCTCCCTTGCCCACTTGATCAACCTCTACCAGTGGTAGAAGTGGGGCTTCTGTTGGAGGGGCCTTCTAAAAACAGATGGAAACTACCCGCCCTGACTTCTCTTCCCTCCAACCTAAGCAGCTCCTGAGCAGCCCTCTGATCATGGCAACCCCTAGAATGTTTCCTTGCTGCAGGGGGTGGAAGTAGCTCCCTAAGCTGTTTTCAGTTGCCAGCAGCCACAGAGAAAGCAGCTGGGATGTAGGGAATGCTATGGCCAGTCTCCCCAGGAACGTCCCTAGCGCATCTTCTACAGTGGGACTATTTAAAGTGGAGCTGAGGTC